GAGAGAGAGAGAGAGAGAGAGAGAGAGAGAGAGAGAGAGCTTGCTCAACGGTGCGGCCCGGCTCCGACGTGCACACTAAGGCCCGGGCACCCCTAGAGCGAGGCAGAGCAGGGCGCTTCACCTTTGCTCCTGAAACCAAGAAGACGCTGCTGCGTGTCTCTGTTCACGTTATTATTGTGGTTGGGTTTGGTGGGTGATTTCAAAAACAGGATCTCTGTCCACTCCTTTTAAAATGCCATTTTTGCGAGGATTAGCAGAATTTAGAATTGTGTGACCTATTAAAAAGGCTTTGAAAGAGGAAAGGAATCAGCTATGGTTAATCTTTTATTGTCTTATCTTGGGAGCTAATAGAATGAGAGAGGGGCAGGAATGGGAATAATATAATATCAAAATTAGAGGACTCTAAACTCTATCACTGTTCTTCCCCCTGTGCTATTTTTAGAACTGAGAATACCACTCTTACATTTCAGTAATTTTACTTTCGTACATAACGTGTAGCAGAAAGTAAGATTCATTAGTTTAAAGGGCATGAAAAGTTTAATGCCAAAGAAAATGATTCTGTGGTATCTTTTCATGTCATATTCATTTTTATTCATATTTGTATTTATGTGTGTGTGTTGGGAGGTTCCTACTGAAGAGACCTGCATGTAAGTTGCTTCGGCTTACTCAGTGTATATATACATCATTGAGTTCACATGTAAACGTCTCGAACAAATTAGTTGTTACTTATCAAGTAGATATAAAACAGCTTAAAAAGGGAAAGGGGGTTACCGCTGTAGAAAAACTGAACTCTACAGCCTAGTTATAGTCTCAGCTTAGTATTTACTGGCAGTACTTCTGACCTTCATAAAGAAAAACTGATATTAAAAGGTCTTGGGGTTTTGCCATTTTAATTGTAAAGCTAGTACAGAGCACAGGACTTTTAAACTCTTAATGCCTTGAAGTAAATGGCGTCTCAAACACACATGATCAGCCCTGCTGGTCGGGTTGCAGCCGACGCGTAGAAACCCAGGGATCACGCCTCTGCCCCATCTCCTTTCCAGCGTTCCAACCCACATGCTGCCTATCCCAACCCTGGACCAAGCACATCCCAGCCGCAGAGCAGCATGGGCTACTCAACTACCTCCCAGCAGCCTCCGCAGTACTCACATCAGACTCACCGGTACTGAGCTGCGTTGGAATATTGTCAATGCACTGTTGCTAATGCTGCAGGACTGACTGTGCAGCTCTGCGGGAACCTGGTATGGGCCATGGGAATGTACTGTACAACCACATATTCAAAATGTCCAGTCGCCAAGTTCCACCACTTTTCACAGATTGGGGTAGTGGCTTCCAAATTATACCTGTTTTGGGGTTAGACTTGAACAGAAAGTGCTAGCACGGTTTGTGTTGTGGATTTGCTACTTCCATAGTTTACTTGACATGGTTCAGACTGACCAATGCATTTTTTTCAGTGACAGTCTGTAGCAGTTGAAGCTGTGAAATGTGCTAGGGGCAAGCATTTGTCGTTGTATGTGGTGAATTCTTTCAGTGTAACAACATTATCTGACCAATAGTACACACACAAAAAGTTTAACTGGTACTTGAAACATATAGTATATGTTAACTCAACAAAATAACCAAGACTCAAAATGAGATTATTTTGGTACACCTTTCATCTTAGTGTCTTATCAGTGGGTTGATTCATTTTCTACATTAATCAGTGTTTTTTGACCAAGACTATTGCTTGGGTTTTTTTGAAAGTACAAAAAGCCACATAGTTTTTCCAGAAAGGTTTCAAAACTCCCAAAGATTAATTTCCAACTTATAAGTTTGTTTTTATTTTCAATCTATGACTTGACTGGTATTAAAGCTGCTATTTGATAGTAATTAAATATGTTGTCATTGATATAAACCTGTTTGGTTCAGCAAACAAACTAAAATGATTGTCATAGACAGTGTTTTACTTTTCCTGTTGGTGTTGCTGATTTGTGAGCATGCTTTAAGATGAAAAAAGCATGAATGGTAACTTCCTTAAAAAGGTGCGGCATCCAATTCAGATATTTTGTCCTGATTTTAAAGCTGGTTGGTGTAGTGCTATTAAAATTTTATTCAGTTAATTTCCTTTTTTAAAACTTGTTCGCACGTTGTTTAGGGTGCCCTTGCTTCAGCAAAGGAGAAGGAGTAGGAGAGCCTTAGCATTTTTGAGGGAAAAAAACCTATAACATACAATGTACTGTATCAAACTATTTTACATGAATGACACAAGTATTCTGAATTTAAAAGAAATTGAACATTGTTAAAAACAAGGTGTTATGTAATAAATTTATTTTTCATAAATCAATATATGGAGTCAGCTGTATTTTTATATAACAAAAAGTGTTTTATTTATTTTTAAATATGCCTTAACAAGCGGCCTCGAAATCAGTCTCCAGTTGTTTTCATTAATGTCTGTGTATCCTGCCTCCGTAGTGGAGTACTGGCGTTTGATGCAGATGTGGATTCCTTTCTGTTACACTTAGTACTGTAATACTGTAAAATATTGTGTGAAATAGACAGCTTTCTAGTTGAAAGAAGTTATGATGAGCCTTCCATTTCTAGTATAATGCCCAATTCTTTGTTATGCTGAGACCAAGTTGATTGTTTTATTCCAAATAATATTTTTCCTCCCACCTTCTGCACAAAATACAAAAGATAACACAACTAACAATTTTTTAAAAAATTCAACTCATTCATATAAAACCATTCTAAAACAATTTAAGAACTGAGGAATACCAACACTGATAGACCTGACCATCACAAAACTCATCAAACTGTACACCTTAAATTGACATTTTGTATTATATGTAAATTATGCCTTAAAGCTGATTTGTTAAAAATCTAATAGGAGGAAAGCACACAGTACATGCCTAGCATTTAAGCATTTGTTAAATGTTAGCTATTATTAGTGTTCTCTCTACATGGGAATGTAAGTTTTTCTTAAGACTTAAAATATGACCTAGTTCTAGCAAGTAGGTTAATCGTTCTAAGTCATTTCATGGCCAAATGTTTCCTAGCCTCTCATGAATCAGCTTTAGGTATCTACAGGAGCCTAAGCCGAGTGCTAGAGTACTGATGATTCCAGGGCTGAAGTACTTAAAAGTACCTCTGGATTCAATAATCTTTATTAAGTTTTTTCTTTTTAAATTCTGCAAAGGTTAGGGGCTTCTGCTTCTCAAAAATATTACTGAACAATTAATACCCTTTATAATATTCACTTCACCTGGGCACAGCTCTGAAGTTTCTCATAACTGAGAATATTCTTTGAAGGAGCAATAGAATTGAATTTACGAGATATTTACTAAGCACTTGGTAATGTGTTTAATAGTCATTAGGACTTGTGGTCAGACTGAGCTGGAACAAACCACAGTCTCTATCCTCAAATACACAAGGAACTTAATTTAGTTGAGGAGTCAGGATACACACATGGGAAACACAACAGTGGGAGTCCATCATTGAATCAGGCCCTAAATGGAAGGTTAAGAGCCATAGCTCTTTCTCTTTTGAGCAGAGAAAATAGTATGGTGGGAAGGGTTTCAGGGTGGGGTGGGGATCGGGGTGGAGCATTAGAAGGAACATGGGCTTTGGGATCATGGCCCCACCTGTTACTTAATGTAAGGCCTTGGTCAAGTCATTCAACTTTCAAGCCCCTGTAAATAATAATTGTAGTAAAAACTGTGATGCTCCCACTGACTCACAGAAATGCCGAAAGGCACTGTGTAAAGCAAGTATAAAAAACTATTCAGCCCTGGCCAGTTTGGCCCTCGGACTGAAGGGTCTTGGGAGGCAGCCAGTCGATGTGTCTCTCTCACAGCAATGTTTCTCTCCCCTCCTTCTCTCTCTCTCTCTCTCTCTTTCCCTTCCACTCTCTCTGAAAAGCAATGGGAAAAATATCTCGGGTGAGGATTTAAAAAACACACAAAACTATTCAAACGTTATCATCTCAGCTGGGCCCTAAAGTAACACTGAATACCTAGCATGTGCCAGGCATGATGCGACACATTTTACACATATTATTATTCCTCATAAATACCTTGTGAGTTAAGTATTCTTTTTCCCATTTTACAAATGAGAAAAATGAAGGTCAGAGAGATCGTGCCCTGCTCAAACTCAGGCGCTGTGTGGTAAAATCAAATTTGCTTTACCTCAGCTTCCGGGGCCCAGAGGAGGGAATAAGCCCAGGATGGTCATGCGTCGTGAAGTGACCACGCTGTCCGGAGCACAAAACATGTCCTGGGCAACAGCAGCCAAAGATGAAATTGGTCGGCTGGTGGGCTGCAAGTGAGGGCTGTTCTTTGTACAAATAAAGGCATTTTTTAGATGTGTTTTCCCACTTAAATTATAAACTAAAAAAAGATTTTGTATTTTGCTAGTTACTGATAATGTCTGTTGAAAGCATACTGAACAGAACTAATGGATTTAAAAACGATGCTTGTTTAATAGGCCCTAAAATCAGCTTGATTAATCTGCAGTAATTGCTTTTCCAGTTGAGTTACTTCATTGGTGGGAAAAATGCTACACTTAGGTAAACGGAGACAACTAACAGTGTTCTCTGATTATTCAAAAGCTTTTACTATGCCGAGTAATACTGGGCTTTTCAAAATCCTCTTTGCTCCCTTTTTCTTCCAGCCACTGCTACAGTGACAAGTTCCACACGGGCTGTGACTATGTTTGGGGAGGCGCTTTGCCTGGGGCCCTCATCGAGTATGTTTCCTTTGCTGCCATAGGGCTCTGATCCTTCAGAGCAGAATGCCCGGTGGATCCACTCTGCATTCGGGAGCTCACAACCGGGATGAGCGGGAGCTGAGCCCATAGGGTTACCCTTGACCAATGGGTTAAAGGAGTCAATAGGTAGATGCTACTTCCTTCAATTTCCAAAGCAGAACAGGTTGGAGCTGCATTTCATAAGGCTTTTTAGAAGGTCTTGACAGAATTGAGCACCAGTTGCCCAGTGTCAGCCAACTGAACGGTGCGTCCTTGCATTGGTTTTCATTCCTTCCTTTCTTATTCTCTCCCTTATCTCACATTACTCCTACCTGAGATCACATTTATAAGGAAACCACCTGCACATGATTCTTTGTCTCAATTTCTGCTTTGGAGGAATGGAATCCAGGCTTTAAACATCATCCTGTACACAAAAGTTCGTGTGATCGTGTCCTGGTCAGGGCACATACCTAGGTTGTGGGTTCAATCCCTGATTGGGTGCCTGCAAGGGTTTGGGGGCAGCACCAGTAGATGTTTCTTACATGGATGTGTTTCTCTCCTCTCCCTCCCTTACTCTCTCAAAAAAAATCAATAAAAAACATTCTCTGGTGAGGATTTTAAAAAAAAAAGCAGTTGGCAGTAAGGTACCAATTGCTAGTGGCAAGTGGATGGCACTAACTGCTTTGCAGTAACATCAGAATTACTAAGGTTTTCCCTGTGGTAGTTTGGGATGAGGTACAGGTGGAAGGTGGATCAATGGGTTATGGAAAAGCTGGAGGCACTTGAACAGTATTGAAATAATGGTATTTAAAATATTGTGGGCTTGGCTCGCTGTTGTTAACTGCTTTGGAAAACTTGAAAAAAATAAAATGACAAGCTTGGGTTAGCTGATTAGCAATCTAAATTGACATGCTGTGAAAGTCAGAGAGTCAGAGTGAGTGGTAAACTAATGCAAATTTAATGTAAACTGAAACAGGTAATAGCCCAATTGCAGCTGCTTTGTCACATGTGTTGTCTTTGCTAGAACAGATCAACCATAGCCTCTGGCACTTCATATGTGGCTTTTGATTTGGCAAACACATTATTCTCAATCTCCATCAATAAAGAAGATAAAAAGAACACACTTGATGTTTACCTGGGTACAGTCTTCCTCTTGCCCCAAGGCCATATTAACTCTCTTTGTTATAATATAGACTGCAGGAAGGTTATGTGAGGGGAAATGGTGGAGTTGGAAGCTGCCAGGAATCCACCTCCACCTGGACATCAAATGTACTGGCAGAAACAGCCTGAAGTCACCATTTTGGAACTCAGGAGTTTATTTGAACACTTACAGCTTCTGGGGAACAGTATGGCTGGTAAATTGCAGTTTATTTCAGCAGTCAGTGTGTCGGAGGCTACCCACCAGCACATTCTGTGGCAGGCATTTGGACACAGCAACCCACATTTCTGGCAAAACTTGCTAGAGCCAAAACACGGTAAGGACCTTTAAAATATTGGGGTCTGTGTTTTCATTGTGAGGGCTACTTGGATCACTGAGGGGTGGGCAAGGAATCTGGATGCCCTTGTATCAACCTCTACCAACTAAAGCAGCTTCCAGGAGATTTAAGGGAGCTGAAGATGTACGTGTTTTTTTGTTTAGTTGGGGTTTTTTTTTTTTGGCGGGGGCATTAAAACACAACTGTGTATATGGGAGGATTTGGAAAGCTATCACATATGTCCAGGAAAAGACACAGGCTCAGATAAAGCCTGAGAAGACCTTAAGCTTTCACCTTAGGCTGATCCCTGGCACAGACACCCTACAACAGTTTTTTAAAAGTATACAAACCCTGGGGAAGAGTTTTTAGAGTTTCCGTATAAGATTCAAATGTCCAATTTTCAAGAACAAAACAAAAAAAATCACAAGGCATACAAAGAAACAGGAAAGTATGGTCCATTCAAAGGAACAAAATAAATTGGTACAAAATGTAAATGAAGAAGCCCAGGCATTTGGACTTACTAGACAAAGACTTTAAAATAACTGCTTAAGGATGCTCAAGGAACTAAAGGAAGACATAGACAAAGACAGAAAACAATGTATAAACAAAATCAGAATATCAATAAAGAGATAGAAATTATAAAAGGAACCAAAAATTCTGTAAAGTACAATAACTGAAATTTTAAAATACACTAGGAGGATTCAAAATTAGATTTGAGCAAGCGGCAGAAAGAATCAGTGAAACTGAAAATAGGACAATTGAAATATGGCAAGTCTGGAGAACAGAGGGGGGAAAACAGAAAAGTTAACAGAGTAAAGGATCTATGGGACAACACATATGCATTGTTGGAATCTACAGAAAAACAATAAATAAAATCAATGAACCAGCAAAATTGAGAAACTTTAGCTAGACTTACCAAAAAAAAAGATGCAGATAACTAAAATCAGAAATGAAAGCGGCATTACTAGTGACCTTACAGAGATAAAAAGGCTTATAGGAGAATACTATGAGTAATTTTTACAGTGATGAATTGGATAACCTAGAAGAAATAGACGGTTCCTTGACACACAACCTAAACGGAATAAAAAGAAATCTCAACCAGACCTACAAGTAAAGAGACTGAATT